GCGGTTTAGGGTTTCGGCTTGAGGGTTTAGGGCCCCCCACAGCCCCTGTTCAAAAAAGGGTGTGGGGGGGGGGGGATTCCCATGTGCTTTTGAGGCCCTGAAACTTCGGCCTGGAAGCATGCCACCTTGCGCGGCACGCGTCAGAAATTCCGAAGCCAAGGAGCCTGCCTCGAGGGCGGCGGACGAGAGCAGAGGCGCCCTGAGCCGGAAGCATTGTTATCATCTACCAATTGCTTTAGAACCAAAAAATATTTCTTCCTCATAAGGGTGATATAGTGATTATTGTGTTTTTTTTTGTCGGGGGGGTGGGGGGGGTGGGGGGGTCTTAAGCAAATAGTAGTCATTGTTATGATGAGACAGGCGCCTATGCGAAAACCGACGTTTCATTTGCACTTGGGGAAAGGCGTTCCATCCTCATTGTCGTTTCGAGGCCTTTTACAACAGGATGATGTTGGAGAACATGAGAGGCTGCAAGAACTTAAGGCTAGTTCGTTCAGGATTGCATGCGGCGATCTGGTTCCAGCAGTAGTTTGATCGTAACATGCAAGTAAGGAGCCCTAAACCCCAAACCTGAATCTTTCGTAGTGCAAGATGAGGCTTCATACACCACTGCACTTTGATGGCATGACTTCATGGAATTTTTAGCGGCTTCACCATGAGACGGGCGTCGCATCGAAGTCCTCTACTCGCACTGCTAAACGGGCATTTCCCCAAATAGGGGGTTCCCCTTTTCTACCCCCCAAATGCCCTTTAATTCAAAGGGACCCCCAAAAATGGGTGCCCCCCCCCCCCCCCCCCCCCCCATTTTCGGAAACCTAAACCCTAAACCCTAACCCTAAACCCTAAACCCTAAACCCTAAACCCTAAACCCTAAACCCTAAACCCCCCAACGAAGTTGTGAAGCCTCCTGAGGTGCTGAGGGGTGGGGCGACTTTGACCTCGACGTGGCCCATGAAAAAGCTGCTGCAACCGCACCTTGGGCATCTTTGGGGAGGTTCCCCCTTATACTTAAAGAGTACTTAATCGGTATGATCATAGGGGGTACTAGAATCCCAAGGAAGGAGTGTTAGTAGACGGGGGGAACGCAACAAGATATCTTGTCAGATGACATGTCATCATGTGGTGCTGCAGAACGCATTGGACTAACCTAGTGGAAACCCTAAACCCTAAAACCCTAAACCCTAAACCCTAAAAAAAGCCCTAAACCCTAGGACTTGAAGGCAGGATGAAGGACACAGACACATTGCCGTCGCTTCTGTTCTGATGTTCGACAAACTTGCCCACTCGGTTGACGAACTATGGCTGCCTTATGTCTCAAAAGCATGGGACCCCACACGAAGAAAACGGTTTCCCATGAGCCTATAACCCTGCGAACCGAGGATGAGGGCAGCTTGGGATACAGTAAACTCCAAAAAGTTGGGACATCCTTATCCCCGTACCCCAAAAGGTGTACCAAAGGGAATCCCAGCTCTAATCATCCTTAAACCATGTTGAAACTTCCTGGTGCTTACTGTAAAGATCTGTAAAGTTTAAGGTGAAGATGCCCTGACACCCGTCACACCCGATTTTAAGCGATGCAACCTTTCTGATCTGGTTACATACCAAAAGCTGTTAACTTTGTTTGGGCTAGGGTCAGCCCCCAAAGGATAAGTCCCAGGGCGGCATGCTTTGCTGAGGATAGCCGGGAGCAGGGCGGCCGTGACGAATCGTCGGCGCAGGCGGTGTCCATGTTCTCTACAGCCTGGGCCTGAAGGATTCGTGCGAGGTAGCAATGTACTGACACGGTGCTTTCGCACGTCCTGGCTACAGTAGCAGATAGTCATACCTGAAGATGACGATCCTTTGTGCAACTTCAGGTTGGGCACATGTCAGCCACCTGTCCACTCTTGCTTTGTCCACCACCCTCATGAAAACGGCATGGCAGTATAACTGAGGCGACGAGGTTGTTTGGCGGCTTGGTGGAAAGTTTGTTTTGGGCGAGTCCCTGCCATGGTTTTCATTGATGGTGTAATATGGCCACTGTCACCTTTGTCTAAAGCTAAACGGGAGACATCACTGCAGTACCAGCAGCACAACTAAAAGGAGCACCTCGGCCCCTTCCAATAGTATATGGGATGTATGGGACTCGCTAGCTCGTGCGGATGACCCTGGATGTCTTTGGGCGTGAGGGCAGAAACCCGGTAGTTCTTGCGCATTCGAGTTGGCACAGCCAAACATATCCAAGCTCGCATTGGTACAGAGTAATCAAGATGTTTCTGTCGCTCAGACGACTGTTTGTGCTAGTTTGGGTTTCTTATTGGCTGCGACAATTAAATCCCTACCATATTGGTTGTGACAATAACCCCTACCATAACAACACAACAAGGAACATCCAGGGCAGGAACCCTTCAATCACCCTAAACCCCTAAACCCCTAAACCCCTAAACCCCTAAACCCCTAAACCCCTAAACCCCTAAACCCCTAAACCCGGGGCCCGAGGCACCGCCACGAGCATGGCGCA